ACACACACACACACACACACACACACACACACACAATCTCATTGCCCTTTTTCTTATTATTCTTTTCACCACAAAAGAGTGTTTTTTTAACAATTTGCCTAAAATATTTTAATGAGACTTGTTTAAGAAAGGAAAAGTTTAAAAACAAGTCCTCATTTGTAATAATGTACTTAAATGATATATGGACCCTATTTCAGGCCTCCCTGTGTTCCTCTTGTTTTTATAAAACTACTTTTCTTACCTCCGGGCCTTAAGCTCGACTCTTCCTCTGCATTACTCTCACTGACTCCGCCTTCCCCTTTACTTTCTGCCCTGAAAGAAGAAGCCTGTTTAAGACGACGCCTCCTCTCTGGCAGTGGAGAGTCATTGATCAACCGAGGCGAGAAAGAGCGACGTGTGTTTTAGAAACAGGACGAATATATACGTCTCCTCCTCGATGAACGTCAGTTTGATGGATTGAGACGTCAGCGGGGACACAACGTTCTCTCTCAGGCTGTTGATGAGTCATAACGCACAAACTTGAACTCTGGCCAAACCCACCTACAGCACACAACACACACACACACACACACCTGTTGAACGTTAATCTGAGACAAAGCCACCAAGGTCGTGTTCACCTGTGATAATATATTAACTTCCTATTTGCAGAAGTCCTGAATGATGATGCTTTCTTTTTCAAAGCACATAAAAAGTTTCTTTATGATAATTTCACATCGTTAGCACCGGTGCTAATAAATGCTTCTGGTTTATTGTTCTTTTCATTATTAATAACGACATCACAGCGGCTGTAAAGTAAAATTCTCACCTTTTAAGAGACGAGAATAATCTCTGTCAGTGTTTGACCATAAACCACCTGCATGCTCACTGTCAGTTTTCTAACAAGAGCTCACTGTGTGTCCAGCATATTCACATGAGTGTCGACAGGGCTGCCCCGTGCCGGTTTGGGAGAACAGGTTTGACGGGAGCTCCGGCACTCCTGTCCACCGCCTCGCTCTGTTTCTATTCAAGTATTTGACCCCGGCCGCACTGCTCACACACGCAGGGTTGAACATGTGTTGAGAGGTGATTAGCAATTTTCCAAGTCTGCTGATACATTTAGGAGCCGAGGAGCTTTAACCTTCGTCAAGGTTTCAACCACTTTCCATTGGTTTGTTTGTTGTTACCCAAAAAAATTAACACATTTCCCTGATACTTATTGGAAGGATGAGTCGAGGGAGGGAGGCTTTTTTTCCCCCCAGGGATCAATTCATGGAAGAATTCACGAGAACATTAGAGCAGCTTGTCTGAGTTTTAGGGAACTGTTGGGCCACGTGGGAGGTCGGAGATGTTTGTGTGTTTGTTAGCAGGATTACGTCACAACTATTAAATGGATTTCCATGAAACTCCATATTTTAGGTGCTGATATCTATGCGTGTGTCCAATTTGATGCAAATCCAAATCAAAAATCTGGATCTAGTGGTTTTAAATGTGGTTTAAGGCGACTGTTGGGTGGAGGTATGCTAATGTTTCTACAGGACGTCGATGCAGTGGTTTAAAAACACTCAGGTCAGTTTAATCCAATGTGAAGAACAAGGTGAACAAGAGGGAATGTTTTTCAGATCTGATTTAAATAGATGACACCAAGAAAACACAACCCGCCTCTGTGCCTTGACTGCAGCTGCAGATTAGCGGCTGAGTTTAGGTGTGATCACTGTTGACAGTGGTCGCTGAGCGTTGGCTGCTGAGCTGCAGGGAGATGTTGTGAAGATAATTGCGCGCAGCGTTCGTGATGGGAGCGGCTCTCCTCGCTCAGTTCACTGCAGGAGGTCTTAAAGAGGAATGTGCACAGAACAATGTGTTCATGTCACATGGGGATTTTTTATTAAATCCAAATTATAAGGTTATTCTCCACAGATCAGAGCTCAGTTAACTCATGAAACTTAAATGGACTGTGACTGTCCTTCATTCACTCGTCGCCGTCGGACGCAGAGTTCTGTCCACTTTCTTTTCTGTCTCTCTTTGATTTTGCCACCTGTTCTGCTTTCATCAGCCCAGAGGGAAGGAGGGAAGGAGAGAAGGAGAGAAGGAGAGAAGGAGGGATGACAGTGTGGATTAACTGTGCTGTGTTGTTGCTGCAGTTCACACATTCCAGCGGGCAGATTCGGGCCAACTGTCTGTACCAACACAGAGGCCTCCTTCACCCCCTCGTCCTCCCTGTCCTCCCCGTCCTCTCGTCCATCCGTCTGTCTCCCTGCTCTATTCGTCCGGCTGACATGTGACCTCAGATGTAACCTCATCTCCTCACAGCCTCGTCTGTTTCATTTAAAACGTGTGAACCTTGATTCACGTTGGTTTCGTATTAGATTGTGATTGAGGCCAAAGTAAACGTGTCACCTCCCACTGTTGATGCAGGACTGTCACAGATCTACTGTCACCTGACATTGTGCCGCCCTCTAGAGGCCAAGCAGTGTCATGTCGTGAAAGAGTTAAAGTCAGGGTCACACGGCAGAACTAGTTTCTCTATGAAGGTTCTCAGTGTTACACCATTTTATTATTTTGGAGATTAATCCGAGGCATTTTTAAAATGATCGTCATCAGCTGATCTCGTTGTTCTTCTGTGCTGTGCTTTAAAGAAAGAGTTTATATTTTGACTACTTTTCTTTCCTCTCGCTTTTTAAAAATTGTTGTTGAGTAGAAAGGGAAAAGAATTTAAGATTCAGGTACAGATGCATGAAAATTGTCTTTGCGTAACTTCTTTAACGTCGTCCATGTTTGTCTGTGTTGTTGCTCTCAGGGCCGAGTGGAAGTGGAGGCTGGTAACGAGAACATGAAGTTTGAGACCGGACCTTTCTCTTTCTACGGCGTCATGGCGATCAGTGCTCCCACACTGGGTGAGTTCAAAATCTCCATCAATCCTCTTTCTCTCCTCATCTTCTCCTCTAGTTCCCCTCCCCATCATCTCATCTCCTCCTCTCATCTCAATCACATGCTTCTCCTGCCACCTAGTGGCGAAATGGTAGATAACTTTGCAGCCATTGATGTCAGGAGGATGGTAAGATATATTAAGACATGTAATTCTACAAGGGTTGATTCAGGGACAATAATGAATCAGTGACAGTTTATTCTAAATGATGCAAATATAATCATTTTAAATTATAACATACCAAAAAGAGGAGAATTTAAATGAACAATAGTTCAACCAGAAACAACCGTGATCATTTTGATCAATAACTGAATATAGATAATGAATTGGAAGCATTCAGGTATTTCACAGGTGAGCAGTAAAAATGTGTAAAAGTGTTTAAGATGTTTTCTTGTATTCTACGACATTTGTTCTTCAACATCTGGAGAAACAGGGAAGTTAAGTTTGCTTTGTTCTTCAGATTTGAGAAATTATGAAAACACCTTGTGACAAACTTTAATGAGAGAAACTAAACTGGTTGACGAAGTTTAAAACTATTCCTGGATTTTTGTTTTATACAATCAACTTTACAACCTATAGAAGAAAAAAAAAAAAGATCCAAGCATAGATAGAAGAGGAAATGTGTTTTATTTTAATATTTATTATCTTTCATCTCAAGAAAAAGTAAAAAATACAAAGAATAAATTTCAGGATAAAATCAAACTACTGATCGTAGCACATGTTACTGTTCCACAGTTAATGTACTGTGTATAGTAAAATGGTCAAATTGTTTTTTAGAATCAGGAAAACAAAAACCTTCCTCTGAATCATTTGACTTAATTATTCAAACATTTAAAATCTATTCACAGAATACAAAACATCCTTCTGATTCATTTTGACTTGATTGTTGATATTTTCCACTTTTTCTCATGAGTTATATTGAGAAGGAATTTTGGAGATCTGGTCATTATTACAGGGAACTGAGAACATATGATATAAAACCGTTTAAAATGAGTTTGCTTCCCTCTTTAAGAATAGTACAAACTTCTGCTTGAGCTCCCTCACGTCATGTTGGGAGACTCATGTCCGTGAAATATCTGCTGACGCACCATCATCCTCTTTCCTTTCGTCTCTTTTTCATCCTGAAGTTCAACAGGTGTTCAGAGAGAAATGTGTGGCGCTTGTTTAGTTTCACCAGTTTTTCAACTTTCCTTCTTTTCCACCAGCGTCCGACTCCTTTCACACAAAAACTCACTCACCTGTCAAACCCTGTCTTTGAGTGAAGCAGCATCCCTCCATGGTTTTGCATATCGTTGCCCAGTCTGGAAGCAGACCTGTCTCTCTGTCTCCCACTGTCTCACTGACTCCCTCCCTCCCTCCTTCCCTCCATCCTCCCTTCCTCCCTCCCTTCCTTCCTTCCCTCCCTCCCTCTCTCCTCTCAGCGGCTGCACATCGTCCTCGCCACCTCTCCTTTAAGAGGTTTTCTCTGTTCTCTCGGTTGCCAGGTAAACTCCGGCATGTCTGGGTACTTTAACACCGAGGATGGGCAGGGCTCAGGAGTGGGTGGGTGGTCCTGGCTCTCGAATCACCAGGCGTGACTTAGAAATCTGTTCATCAGCCGCCTCCTAATCCCACAGGACAGGAAACTGCTTCTTTTATAAGTTGGAGCGATGAATTATGAGTTGCACATTCTGTCCATTACCATTATCAGCAGCTGTCTTCTTCTCCATGTGATTCAACGTAGCTTCACCCTTTAAGCAAAGAGTCACATGACGGCTTTTTTTTTGGGGGGGGGGGGTAAATAAGCTCTTTGTTCAACGTAGACAACCCCATCTGAACCTGCTGAGTCACTGTTTGGTTTACATGAGGCGGAGGTGAGTCCGTCACACGCTCAGGTGGAGGTCAGAGTTACTGTTTAACGCAGAGTTGAATCAGACGCTAGCAGAAGTGACGATGATCTGCAGTTAATGAGTTTCACTGATACAAAGGCGTCAGTGACTGTCAGTGCTCGTGCACGTGTTTGCCAATAAAGAAGAAGAAAAGACACATTCGAGACATTTCGCCTTCGCAGTTTATCCACTTTAGAGCAGTCAGGTTTAGTTTTCAGTTGTAAACACACGTCTTTACGGTGATACACTTAAACTATGAATTTATTTACGTGTATTATGTAAATATTTGCCAGTAGACTGAGTCTCTCTGGGTTTTCAGGAGGGAACTGAAGGAAAAGAAGAGCCGTGCACGTAGATGTCACCTGTAAACAGACGCTTCGCCTGTAGAAAAAGACGCTGAAGTTAAACATGTTGACCAAAGAGCAGATCTGCCCGTTTCCCCAAACGTCACATGATGCAAGAGAGAGGGAGTGGACAGAATCATGAGACACTCAGATGGGACTGTCCCCTCTTCACAGGACAAAGTCACATTATTTCTTTCTCTGTTTTACGTCTCGAAGGAAAGAATGTGAAGCTGTTGAGACGCAGCCTGTGCTAGTTTTTATATTTCAGATGTTTTGAATAGACTGAAGAGCTTTAACTTCTGATGGACGTCTCTCAGAGCTCAACATGTTTGTGTAGAGATAACAAGTAAAATCATTAACCTGCAGCCAGTTCCAGATGTGATCCCAGATCTCGTATAGTGTCGCAATCATCCACCTTAGTTTTAAAAACACTAACTCTCAGATCACAAGTAGAGATTTTTTCGATTTAAAGTCATGAAGGTCCAGTGGGAAACTTTTCTACAAGGTTCAGCACTTTCTCCATCGCAGCCAAGGCAGAAATATGAGGAGAAAATATAACGTATTCATATTTTGGTGACACTGAACTTTGCCTCATTAGTTTGTGAAAGTGTTTTTTCATTCATGTATTTATGAACAACGGTAACGCACATGAGCCGAGGCTGATGTTTAAACAATTAAAGAATGAAAACAAGAATTGTGAAATCTTTACAGTCATAAACATTTAAAATGCCCAAGTGAGAAACTTTTTAAACAATGAAAGAATTTCTTTGAAGTAGTTTTAATCTTACTTTACCATGAGTTCAACAAAAACATTTATTTATTCTTTGTTTAAACTTAAAAATACATTTCATCCATATCTTTAAAAACCACTTAAAAATGTATTTACAATGAAATAATCCCATAATATTACAGTTGAATTGACGTATTATTTAATTTATCTGGTTAAAGTTTACACAATAAAAAGCTAAATAAAAAAACAGGAACCGGGATTTTGAGCTTTAGATAAATTTGAAGTTGAAAAGGTTTTGACAAGGAAAAGTTTTCTGCTGGAGTAGTTTTCCATGACTAATTGAAATCTAACCACTAACTAGGAAAGTAGGCGTTGACGACCCACGATTAACTAGTTTCACTAGTTTAACTTGATTAATTCACTGAAATCTAACGTGTCCAGGTAAAACAGTTTCCTATGACTCACTGAGGCCCCCTGCTGGAAGACTCACACCTACCGGTAATAACACAGCTGGTAATGTGCGGCGCGTGTGCGTGTGCGTGTGTGTGTGTCATTGGTTTGTTTCGTTGAAATAAGCATGAACTAAACTGTGAGCCTGATGAAACACTTGGAAGTTACTCATCGTGGTTTCGTTGTGTCCGAGCAGAGGTGGAAAATACCAAGCTAAAGGAAACGTTTCAGGCTTCCAGTGAATTATCGGGTGGAAGCTAAGACTAAGCTAAGACTCAAGACAAACGTACCGACGTTATATATTTAGTTGACTTGTGTTCTGACATCATCCCGAATGTTTCCAACAATGTTCGAACCCAGAGAAAACTCCCTGTTCTGTTCAAGACGTTGGATCTGAACTGATCTCTGGGCAGACGGTGAACGACGATGGAAAAACACAACCAGTCGGTGGTTGATTCACTTTTAATGAATCGAGTCTCTTCATTCCTTTTTGATGTGTAACATTAATTAGACCTGAATGCATCACCTCAGAGTCACATCAGGAAGAACTTCATTGGCAGTGTGACAAAAACTCCCATGATGCCACGCTGTGTCGGTCCCAACATTATCGAACTGTGGTTCCCTAGAAAATAAAGTGTCCGCCCCACACAGAGAAAAATGAATCCAATTATTTATGACGATAATTTCATTTTATTGCAGATATTATATTTTAAATTTAAAAATGCTTGATCAGAAATAATGACATTTTACTTTAAAGGTTCTGACAGTTTATTCTTTTCTGCCTGCGTGTTTTCTTTTTCAAAATAAAAGCTTACACAGCAGAATATCCCCGCAGTGAATGTTGTTTCCACCTCTGTTAAAACACCTGATCTCAATCTGCATCCTCAAGGATTGAGTCACGGCTTATTTGGAAATTTTAGTGAGTCATTGTCTGTGGTTGAAGTCTGTCGGTTGAAGAAAAGATGTGAACACGCGCTTGTGATGATATAACCGAACGCTGATTTGTTTTCGTCGCCCCCTCAGTCTCTGCTCCTCTCTCAGATTTAATTTAACTTTTGTTTCTGTTTGAATTTTCTGCATTATTTGTGTGTTGAGCGTCACATTCATCCGTTCATTCGGCTGAAGCTTCACTGCATCTCGTCTCCCACTGACCACTGAGCCATTAACCCTTGAATGGCTTTGAAGCAGTAGCTGTAGTCCCATGACTCCGCTCCGACAGAAACCGAGGCTTTGCAGAGTTTCTCTTTCAGAAGCTAATAACCTTTTGTGTGTGTTCGTGTGTGTGTGTGTGTGTGTGTGTGTGGGCAGAGTTTCGTTCACCGTCGCACCTCAGCGGGTTGAACCGAACAGCGTCTCTGAGCGGAGCGGACCGGACAGAGTCTCTCTCCATCAGCGGCAGCAACAGCCAACTCAACAACAGCTTCACCTCGCAGCAGTACACACCCGACTTCTACGTCCGAGCCCTCACTGACCTGCAGTTTGTTAAGGTTGGTGATAACCTGGTGTCCCACAAAGACAAACAAGCATCACGTGTGATCCCTCTCTCTCTAACTCCCCCCCCGCCCCCCTCTCTCTCCGTCAGATCACACGGACTCAGTACCAGAACGGCCTGATGGCGTCTCGTCTAGACAGCACGCCTCAGTCCCCGGAGAGCGGCCACAACGCAGTTTCCCTGGATCAGACCACTCCCCCCGCCACCGCCAACACCACCGCCATCACGTACCTGGCCGCGGACTCCACCGCGACGGAAAACGGGCCGGACGAGACGACGCTCCTCCTCCTCAACGAGCAGAACTCACCGCACACAGCCAACCACCACAGCCAGCTGGAACACAGCATCTGACCCCACCCCCCAGCCGATCCTCCATACTCCTACGTTTGCACGCACGCACGGCTACGCTCGGATATATACGCTGAGGAAGGGGAGGAGTGTGTGTGTTGGTGTGTGTGAATGGGAATGCAGACAAATGCCAGGGCCAGGCCCAAAGAAACAAGCCATGTGCACGCATATCGTTGAATATGCAAGAATTGAACACAACGTACATACACGCAGACATACCAAAATGCATCATGGGAACTTTCCTTGTACACTTTTTCACGTAAAAAGACTCACTAAACACAGAACTCATCTAGTTCACTGAAATCAAAGAATATCTGCATCTGTGTGTGTGTGTGTGTGTGTGTGTGTGTGTGTGTGTGTGTGTGTGTGTGTGTTTGCGCGCTCCTCGTGTTTTAACTGACGACAAAGTTCTGAAGGACCTGCCTCTTTGGACCAGAAAGCTCCTCCCTCTCTTGCCCGTCAAAGTAATCGCTCTTCGGAGGCCTCGCCCATCCTGCGAG